CGCTGGCGGGAGCCGCGGTCGCCCGGGCCGAGATTGGGGGGGCAAGGCGGGCGACAGAAGGCCGATGCCTCCGTCGCCCGGCCCTCTACAGAATCCACCCCCCAAACCTCCAGGTATTTCCCTCCTTAGAGCTGGCAACCCTACATTCCCCTCAGTGCCTGTTGGTAGGCAACTAAGCTTGGTCCTGTCACCTACTTTGGCCTTTGGGAGAAAACACATTGGGGCCAATCCTGATAGGGTTGCCAACTCCAGATGGGAAATTCCTGGAGGTTTGAGGGATGGAGCCTGAAGAGGGTGAGGTTTGAGGAGGGGTGGGACCTCAGACAGGTACACTGCCATAGACTCCACCCTCCAAACCAGTCAGTCTCACATAGGGAACCATTGTTGCCAATCTCCAGGTGAGGGCTGGAGAGCACTCAGTATTACAACTGTTCTGCAGAAGGGAGGGCAGAAGTCAGCTGAAGTCAAAGGGGCAGATAATGGTAGGTTGGTGGCTAGCTGGGAAGGAGATGGGGTTGCCAACTACATGCTGACAAATTCCTGGGGATTTGAGGGGTGGCGCCTGGAGAGGGTGGGGTTTGCAGAGGGGTGGGACCTCAGACAGGTAGAATGCCATAGACTCCACCCTCCAAACCAGCCATTTTGTCCTGGGTAACAATTGTTGCCAATCTCCAGGTGAGGGCTACAGATTACTCACAATTACAACTGCTCTTCAGGTAGCAGAGATCAGTTCCTCTGGAGAAAACAGTGGACTCTGTCATTATACCCTGCTGAGGTCACCACAGCAAATTGACACTGTTTGCCCAAAGCCAGAGCACTGCCCCAGAGCCTCTTTCTAGATCCCGTTGTATTGCTTTCACAACGGGCTTTACTGCTAGTTCGAAATAAATGGCAAAGATGAAAGAGCGATATTGAGAGGAAATAGATGTCTGGCAGGCGGAGGCCAGGGACAAAGAGGAGGAGCTGGCCGGGACCTCTGGAAGAGTCACACAGAGGTCTTGATCTGATGGTGGTCGGAAGTGATCCTGTACTGAGTGCCTGCATTCAAATGCGCTGAATGGCTTGAACATTGCTTTGAATATTAAAAGTTTTCATGCACCACACTTGCATCTTCCTCTTGCTTATCCATTTATACTCTGCTTTTCTCCTCAGTGGGGATGCAAAGCAGTTTACATTGTTCTCCCCGCCTCCATTTTATCCCCTCAACAACATCCCTGTGAGGTAGTTCAGGCTGAAAGAGACTGCCTGGCTCAAGGTTACCTAATGAGATTTCATGGCACAGCAGGGATCTGACCCTGGTTCTCCCGGGATCCTATTCTCAATGTTACACCAGTCTTCTTTCAAAGAGCTCAGGACAGAGATAACACGGTTATTCCAGTTTATCTTTACAATAATTTTGGGAGGTCTGCCCAAGGAGCTCTCATGGCTGAATGGGGATTTGAATCCAGATCCCTTTGGTCCAAGTCTAACTTTCTGGACTCTACATCACACCATTAGGACTAGGGATGTGCACAAAAAAGAAATCAGTACTTTTTGAGTTCGGTGGGAAGGTAACAGCGTTCCGTGCGCCTTGGTGTTTAGTCATGCCAGCCACATGACCACAGAAACGTCTTCGGACAGCGCTGGCTCTTCAGCTTTGAAACAGAGATGAGCACTGCAACCCTAGAATCAGACTCGACTGGCTTTCAAGCAAGGGAACCTTTACCTTTATAGCAAACCCAAAAAATATCGGTATATGCTGATATTTCTGAATCCCAGTATCGGTATGATATTGGCATTCAGAAAAGTATCGGTATTGTCCAACTTATTCAGCAAAGTTACCTTTACATGGCAAGAAGCCATTAAACCCGGAGTGGGGGGGAGCAAAAGGAAGCACTGAAATGGCCATTTAAACCGAACAGCATGGCAGGTCCGCCTGTCAGCTGATCAGTTCAAATGCTTTCCATTCACTTGCTGAGGCATGCTGACACCACAATGCAACTCAGGGAGGGAAGGGACTTAAAGTTTAAATGCTTGACTCACAGAGTTGTGCCACAGCAGTGGAATGACTCAGCAAGTCACAAAGATGGCTTGGCTTTTGCAAAGACAAGCCACATGCGAGGAACCCAGAAGCATCGCGAGGAACCTGGAAGGTGGGTGAATGTGCACTGCTACGGCTAGTGAAGCTGAGTCTGAATAAAAGTTGAATAATATCAGCTTTTATTCGGGCTCAGCTAGATTGGTAGCTGAATCAGATTAGGAAATCTGATATGGCTGACAAAATACCCGAAAAATACCAATAAGTACTTTTCAGGTATTTATTCAGCTTGGTATACACTGAGTACACACTCCTAATGAGGAATTGTAACAACAGTTAAAATGAGAGCAATGGACAATCTGATTGCACCTACCTTAACTCTATCCTGCCTTCCACACAGACCCCCGCTTGGCATTGGGGCCCGGCATTTGTGCTGCACTGGCTCAAACGTGCCAGCAAAGGTTACGCATCTGCTTTTCAGCATCCCTGCAACATCTTTGTTCTCCACTTCTTCTTCCATCTCATTGGGTGCCCAAAAGCGATGCTGAGATGAAACCCTACAGAACAAAACACAGTTTACCAACAATGCATTTTATGCAGTTCTCTGAGCATCTGTCTCATTAATCATACTTGTACTCCAAAAGATACAATATCACACTTATCACTTCTTGAGAAAAGCTGCATTATATACAGTATACCAGAATTCACAACGTCTACCTGCTACAAGGTAGTGATGCTCTAATTAGGAACACTGGGTCGGTGTGCTGGTCTGCAGCAGAACAGTTAGATTCGGTTCCAGCAGCACCTCAGAGCCCAACAAGAGTTTCACGGTAAAGCTACAGGAATAGTACTCCAATTTTTTTCCTGACATACAGACCATATTCTCAAAGGCGTTTCCTAGGTCATTTCCCTTTTATAATCTCTTATTATTTAAGGGACCAGCTTCAGCTGCAAGTTGACTTCAAAACAGTCTGAAATGCAACTATGACCTCAAAAGGCTCCCAAAGCTTTCAGTGCTCCATAGGCAGTTAGCAGTGCTGTCCTGAGCAGAGTTACACCCTTCTACGCCCATTGTAGTGAAAGGTAGAGTTAGGTTATTTGCACTGCAATCTTTAGCATGCTTACAAGACATTAAACCCCAATGAGACAAATGCAAGCCATATGGGTGGAAATACTGGGCCCTAACTGGGGGCGTACTATTGCCCACCTGATCAAACCCTTCAGGCTAATCTTGAGATGGAGAAGGAAATAAGGGAGGTGACTAAAGCAGATATTATACTGGGAGACTTCAACTACCCTCACATTGACTGGGTAAATGTGTGCTTGAATCATGCTGCAGAAATGAGATTTGAGACATTATAAATGACTGTGCACTGGAACAGTTGGTCACAGCGCCAACCAGAGGGGTAGTGATCTTGGACTTGGTTCTGAGCAGGTCTCAGGACATGGTGAGAGATGTAGAGGTTGTTACACCAATTGGGAACAGTGACCACAATGCTAAATTCAGTATTCAGGTCAATGGAAAGTTATCCCTAAGGTCCAAAACTGTAACATTTGATTTCAAGAGAGGGAACTTTACAAAAATGAGGGGAATAGTAAAAAGGAAGCTGAAGGGGAAACACAAGACAGTCAAATCCCTAGAGGATGCTTGGAAGCTATTTAAAACCACACTAACTGAAGACGCAACAGAATGCATTCCACAGATTAGGAAAGGAACTGCCAAGCCTAAAAGAAGGCCTGTGTGGTTAACAATGCTAGTCAAGGAAGCTATAAAAAGTAAAGAGGGTTCTTTTAAAAAGTGGAAGGTCTGCCCCAGTGAATTGAACAGGAGGGACCACAGGCTCTGGCAAAAAAAAAAAAAGAGGTAAGAATAATTAGGTATGCCAAAAGAGATTTTGAGGAGCAGGTTGCTAAAGGCATCAAGACAAACAAAAAAATTTTTTTTAATTTATCTGGAGCAGGAAACCAGCCAGAGAAGCAGTGCTGCCTTTGGATGACAAAGGGATTGCTAAAGGAAGATGGGGAGATGGCAGAGAAGCCCAATGACTTTTTTGCTTCTGTGTTTACTGTGGACAGTGTAGGACATGTACCCATGCCAAAGCCATTGTTTTCAGGAAGGGAGCAATGCTCCCTCTAAGATGTGAAGTTTTGTAAGTAAAAATTCTACTTTTGTGAGCTACTGGCATTAAAGTTGTGAGCAAACGTATTGGCTACTGCATAAACTAGTTTGCTCTGGAGCCATCCTTCCTGAGCTAAGACAAAAATGTGCGAGCCAGAGGCTAAAAATCTGTGAGCTAGCTCACACTAACTCAGCTTAGAGGGAACACAGGAAAGGAGTCAGATAATTGCGCCCAATTGAGGTGACAAGATTATTTATTTATTCATTCATTCAATTTATACCCTGCCCTCCCCACTGAAGCAGGCTAGGATATGTGGGATTACTCGCTTGTGATGGAGATGGGACCCTTAAAAGCTAGTCATCTATCTATGTAGGGGGAGCAGATAGTGAAGATATGCTGCTGCCATTGCCATGAACTTGGTGAACACCTTCCCACACTTTGTAGGGACAGTGGGCATTTCCACAGCAAAGCAACAGAATTTGTGATGTTGTGGACAAATAAGAGAGTTGGAAGTACACATCTTTTAGGTCAGTAGATGCAGGCCTTGATGGGATAGGAAGCTTAACTGCTTGCTTCACTAACTCCCTGACTGTGGTAAACTTTCGCAGGGAGAGCAAAAACTGGCACCGTCACCTTGAGAAAACACAGCAATTTAAATCAGCCCTGCCTACCACAGTGAGTGGACCATGCACAGGTATCATACTCCACTGAACGACACTCAAGGAAAACCCTAAAAACTTATGTGGCTAAAATAGCAGAGCAATGAGATCTCTTTATAGTTGGTGCTCATCAAATGTGTTTTAATCCCCAATAATGCTGTGAATACCATGAGAAAGAGATCACAGATTTATTGCCTCAGAAAGCCAATAAGCAATACCTCTGAGCAAAACAACGTTTCTTTTGCACAATCCCTTACCAACCTATGGAAAAATGACCCTGCTCCTGAAATTCCGAGTGTTCTGTATATTTATTTATTTAAATTTATAACCTGCCCTCCCCACGAACGGGCTCAGGGCGGCGAAATACTGCCTCCAAAACATTTCACTTTCTTTCCATTTTTATTTAGGACTGTCAAAGTAATCAATCTAACTATCTTCTGAAAACTTGCAAGCAAAGTGATAAGAGAAAAAGGAATAATTTTAGAAGAAAATTTGGAATTTATTTACTTAAGAATCTTGCCAGCAGTTGGTTGTTCTTGTCCCCAGTAGAAAAGATCTAACCCAAAAGGTACGATTGGAGCCTTGGATTTCTCTTCTTCATGTTTTTTGTTGTGCTCCCCTGAAGTTGCAAACTCAGAATTCCTGGATGTGCAGAATAAAGATAACTAATTCAGAAAACAATGCATCAAAGTCACAACCAAGAACTGCAATATATTTTCAACATCTCGGCCTCTACCACTTGAGATCTACTAAAAATTTCTACCATCTTGGCTGTTTATCACAAATATTGCAATACATACAAGGGATGGTAACAATTCACCACTAATTTTGTAGACGTTTAAAATGGTTTGCTTCGATCAGTAGCACTCACTTTGTGGAGAGGCACCTCTGCAATCACCAGCGACCAAAAGAGCTGCCTGACTGCCGTGTGACCAGGGTCCCACCTCCTCCTCCCTCCAGTTTGCTGTAGTGGTTAAGAGCGCGGACTCCAATCTGGGAGAACCGGGTTTGATTCCCCACTCCTCCACTTGCAGCCAGCTGGGTGACCTTGGGTCAGTTGCAATCTCTCTCAGAGCTGTTCCCTCACGAGCAGTCCTCAAAAGAGCTCTCTGAGCCCCGCCTCTCAGGCAATGCTCCCTCTAAGCTGTGGAGTCTTGTGAGCAAAAATTCTACTTTGTGAGCTCCTGGCATTAAAGTTGTGAGTGAGCAATTTGGCTCCTGCATAAATTAGTTTGCTCTGGAGCCCGTCCTTCCTGAGCTAAGGCAAAAACCTGTAAGCCAGAGGCTAAAAAACTGTGAGCTGGCTCACCCTAACTCAGCTTAGGGGAGGGGAAGGGAAAGGAGTTTTTAAGCCACTCTGAGACTCCTTTGGGTAGCGAAGGGCGGGGTATAAATCCAATCTCCTTCTTCCTTCAGCTTGTCCTCCTGTCTGCCTCTGTGCCCTTTCCTACCTTCCCTCTTTCCCCAAAAGTACCTTCTCTATCTCCTCCCTCTGGCACCCTTCGTTCCTCCGTGGATGCTTCTAAATGGCCTTAACAGTAGCTCATGGCTGATCCGGTGCCACTTCCGGTGCCTTCACATTTGCGTCTGGAAACACCATCCAAGGCTCAGAGAAACCCAGGTTACGAAGGCTGCCCAGTCTGGGTTGGGAAATTCCCGGAGATTTAAGGTGGAGCCTGGAGAAGGCAGGGTTTTTTTGGGGGGGGGACCTCAGCAGAGTAGGGTGCCAGACAGTCCACCTTGCAAAGCAGCCATTTGCTCCAGGGGAACCAGCTGATCCCTGTCGTCTGGAGATCAGTCGCGATTCTGGGAGATCTCGCCTGGAAGGCTAGCAACCAAGAGGCTGGCAATATTACAGAGAACCCAAAATCAGAAGTAGGGCTGCAGGTGGCATGTGAAAGAGCCACAAGTGGCTTGCAAGCTGCAGAGTGAGTACCACGGGAGTATACAATTTGATGGGGGTGAGGAGACAAGCTGAGAATGAGACACAAAAGAGAACAGCCAGGCAGATTAAAACGTACAGCAGGCTTCGCCTTCACAGAGATCATTGTCATTACGAACTGCCCCCTCCTCCAAGAGCTGGGATTGGCCACAGATGGGATCAGACCAAAGCACGAGGGGCTTGCTAGCTTGCCAAGTCCCACACAGGGGATTCGGTAGCTACAAGCTGCAGGTTAAATTAAGCCAGAAATGCTTCACTACCTTGAGTTTATGTTGCTTATGTCCTTATGAACCTTTCCAAAAAGAACAGCACAAGGAAACAGCGGAAGAATGGCTGACACACACACACACACACACAAACAAAAAACCCAACCCCCAACAATATTTCACTAGTAAAAGGCTGGGGAAGTCCTAACTTAACCCCCCCACACACACACACAATATTTGGTCATATAAATTAATAAGCAAAACCAGTTTCTTTTGAATCACTCTTTTTTCCTTAAGATGTTAACTTCAGCCAGTGTGGTTACATTTCACAATTCACTTATTTCTTCAGTAATGCAAATATTTTCTAGGCAGTACCTACAAAGACAATTGTCAGATACTAGCACATTAGTTCTGCATCTTCCACCACCCAATCCTGAACTAATCTATGCTGAAGTCCGGTTAATCTTTGAGATAGCAGCAATGTCCCTGTCTTATGCAACCAGAGCTAGAAGTGTATTTCATTTCCTTTCAAAGCCAATTATTTTCTTTTCTTGTAGTGCTTAATGTTCAAGAGTTAATGGGTTTGACCCTAAGATCTACAAGCACAGCTCAGCTGGCAGAAGAGATCCTTCCGGCCTCCTCCTGTCTGCTGCAGGCCCCCACAGGCCTTTCTGCTGCCCCCCCCCCCATCAGCTTTTGGAGTGGCCACGCAAAACAGCAAACTCTGTGTGAGGGATTCTTAGGACATGGATTGAGAATAAAATGGTCCCTCTACAGATCTATGGTGTGGCCTCCTTTGGGATACTGTGTGCAGTTCTGGTCACCCTGTCTCCAAAATGACACTGCAGAGCTGATTAGGGGACTGGAGAACCCTTCCTAGGAGAAAAGGCTGATGAGTCTGGGACTTCAGTTTAGAAAAGAGATGACTGGGGGGGGGGGGGGAATGATAGAGGTTTATAAAATTATGCACGCAGTGGAGAGAGGTGACAAAGAGAACATTTTCTCCCTGTCCCAAAATACTAGGGCATCCAATGAAGCTGATGGGCAGTAAGTTCAGGATGGACAAAAGGAAATACTACTTTAAATGTGGAATTAAAATGTGGATTAAAATGTGGATTAAAATGTGGAATTCACTGCTAGGCCACAGGAATAAACAGATTTAAAAGGCCACAGGAATAAACAGATTTAAAAGGGGATGAGATACATTCATGGATGATAAGTCTATCAATGGCTACTAGCCATGGTGACTGAGGGGAACCTCCACATTCTGAGACACTAAACCTCTGGATCCCAGGGACAGGAGGAAATATCAGGGGAAGGACTCAGCCTCTATGCCCTGTTGTTGGCTGTCCAGAGAAACTGGTTGGCTGCTGTGTGAGACGGGAGGCTGGACTAGATGGTCCACTGGTCTGATCCAGCAGGGCTCTTCTGATGTTCTTATCATGGGAAGGCCTTGGCCTCTATGCCCAGGAAGAATGCTGGACTACATGAACTCTGCTCCTGCAGAGTGCAGGGGGTTGGACTAGATGACCTGATTCTTTGACTATTGATCTGACCCAGCAGGGCTCTTCTGATGTTCTTATGAAGGCCTCGGCCTCTAAGCCCTTCCGTTGGCCCTCCAGAGGAACTGGCTGGCCCCTGTGTGAGACGGGATGCTGGACTAGAGGGACCCTCACTGGTCTGACCCAGCAGGGCTCTTCTGATGTCCTTAGCAGCCCAGTGCTTTTGTTGAATCAACAAAGTTAGGAAAGGGAGCTGGACCCCAGGTGCCAGCAACTGCTGCCCTGAGTTTGGGGACATGAACTAGAATGCCTCTCTACTTCCCCCCACAGGTAAATTTTGGAGTGGCTATGCGGAATGGCTGTTTCCTGAACCTGCCAAGAAAAACAGGTTGCTTACCTGTAACCGATGATCTTTGAGTGGTCATCTGTGCATTCACACCTCTGGGATATAGTGCGCCTAAGCCGACCCCGATCGGTACTCGTCGAAAGCAAAAGGGATTTTCGCTCCCATTCCCCTGTCACGCACCGGGTTCCACGGCACATGACCAGGGGAAGGGCACGACAATCCCGCCAGTTCCTTCTGACCACTGCCATCAGTCTCAGAGTAAAAATAGAGGACTGAAAGCAGAGGGGAAGGAGGGTGGGTGGTGTGAATGCACAGATGACCACTCGAAGATAATCAGTTACAGATAAGCAACCTGTTTATCTTCTTCGTGGTCTCTGTGCATCACACCTCTGGGAGATTAACAAGCAGCATGAGCTTATCTGGAGGAGGGAGCTGAAGGTCCTAGACTCACGCCGCCTGCAACACACCGCAGATTTCTGGTGAAGACGAACATCCAGGGCATAGTGCTTCACAAACGTGTGAGGAGTAGCCCAGGTCGCTGCATGACAGATGTCATGGAGGGATGCACCTCTCAGGAAAGCTGTGGATGTAGCTACCGCTCGGGTAGAATGCACTCATAGCGGGCCCGGGAGTGGTCATTTTGCCAATAGGTAGCAGAGCTTGATTGTCTCTACAATCCACTTGGACAAACGTTGGGAAGAGAGCTTGTTTCCCTGTGCGGATGCAGCATGCGCAACAAACAGGGCTGGGGACTGCCAAAAGGCTCGTGTCCTGTTCAGGTAAAAAAGCACTAAACGTCCAGTGAGTGCAGATGACACTCCTCCTCGTCCGCAGGGGACGGGAAGAACACTGGAAGAGAGATGTCGGCCTGTAGGTGAAACTCAGACACAACCTTGGGTAAAAAGGAGACATCTGGTGCCATGGTGACACCATCTATGGTGAAAAACCAAATATGGCGAGTCGCAACAGAGTGCGGACAGTTCCTTCACTTGCCTTGCAGAGGTGATGGCAACTAGAAAGGCAGTCTTCCAAGAGAGGAGCTGCAGGCCGCAGGTCGCCATGGGCTCGAATGGTTTGCCCATCAGTTTAGACAGTACTAACGGCAGATCCCATGAGGGCGTGGGACCCCAAGCTGGTGGGAAGAGGCGAATGAGGCCCTTAAAAAATTGCTTTGTTCGTGGGTGAGAAAAAACAGAATAGCCATCTACGTTAGGATGATTGGCAGAGATGGCTGCTAGGTAAACTCTCAACGAGGTACAACTAAGACCCAAGTCAAAATGGGACAACAGGAACCCAAAAATCGTAACCAACTCTGAGAGAGGTGGAGGCAAGTTGAGTGAGTCCAGATAAGCAAGAAACTTCCTCCACTTCCCTACATAGGAAGCACGAGTGACAGTTCAGCAACACGTGATCTATCCTACTTTGAATCTGAGCTATGGAATCCTCCACGCTGTGAGTTTGTGGTGGGGAACATTGTGATGACGCACCTGCCCCCCTTGAGCCAGGAGGAGATCCGACGCCGGCGGGAAGTGTCGAAAGGAGCCCCTGGACAGATGGAGCAGGACAGGGAACCAGTGCTGGCGTGGCCACCATGGGGACCACAGGAGGAGGTTGTATGGTGGAGAGGGTCAGCTTGTTGACCATTCGTTTAATAAAGTCACTGTAAGATTTTAGATCTTCTGATGGAGAAATCGGGAGGTCATCTGTGACCTGCGGGGATGGCGAAGGTTCCAGCGGGGGGTTGGGATTTTCATCCCCCAAAGGAACAGAGGCATCGGAGGAGAAGGATTGCTCTGACAGCTCCGAGAAAAGCATTGGCACTATCGGTATCGATGGCGTCAGTTTCAGTGGCTTCGGGACCTTTGGTACCAATGGTTAGCCAAGTTTGCCCGTCGACCTCAGTGACTGAGGTTTCGGAAATTCGGGTGCCAGAGGGTGGTCTCGGTGCTGAGAGAGTCGGGAAGAGGCTGATTGACGATCCCACTCTGCCACATATGGAGGAAGCCAAGGCATGGTGCCTGCAAACGGATACGCTCCATACAGGTACTGCCATTGCCTGTGATCCCATGGAGGCACTGGCGCGTGCATCGGTACCGATGGTTGATCTCGGTCAGCTAATTGGTGTGGAGGATGCACGAAAGTGCCAGTTCCACGGTCTGAGTAAAGGCTCTCACCACTGGAAGACCGGGAAAGCTGAGTCAAATCCATATCGTGCTCAGAGTCAGTGAGCTGGATAGGATGCAGCAAAGGTGACTGCAGGACACCTTTGTGCTGCTCACGGCCAGAAGAGTCAAGCAGAGCCGTCACGGCAACGATGGAGTCCGAGACCCTCCGCGGGGTCAGCGGCGCTTGCACTGGGGTTGCTTAGGCTTCTTAGGCTTGACTGACCATTTGTCCTTGCCCTCCCTGCGTTTTTTGGAGGAAGTCTGGGTATCGGACTGAGGCATTGGGACCGAATGTTTTGGCGCCAGCCTATCGGTATCAGAGTGCATCGGCGCCGTGAGCTGGCTGCATGTGGAGGAGTGGGGAATCAAACCCAGTTCTCCCAGATTATAGTCTGCGCTTTTAACCACTACACCAAACTGGCTCTCAAAAGTCCTTCTAAAGAGTTCAGTTTTACAGTCCCTCCAAAAGTATGAGATACACAGTATATCTTCTAATCTCCTCTGGAAAGCTATTCCACAACACTGGAATAGCCACAAAAAAATCCTGCAAATGGGCAGTAGTAGAACATACCCTTGCAGGGTTCAGAACAACCAAAAGGCACTGCTGTGTAGAGCAAAGATATGTAGAAAGATAGTCCTTTAAATATATGAGCCCCAGGTCATGCAGGGCTTTAAACACAGCACCAACACTTGGACTTGGAAACACACAGGCAACCCAGGGCAAAGGCCACAAAACAGGCATCCTACGATCCGCATGGTCTGCTCCTTGATAATATGCATGAGGCCACATTTGACACCAACAGTAGCTTCCAAATTGTCTGCAAGCGATGCCCCATGTACAGTGTGCTACGATTGTCAAGCTTCTAGGTTACAATTACATGGACCAATTCAGCCAGATAGTTTGTAAAAAGCACTCAGAATTATTACACTTGCCCAGCGGTTCTTCATGTTCAGTGGTAAAAGACAAACAGGGCAACCCTAAGCAGAGTTAACACCCTTCTAAGCCCACTGACCTCAAAGGGTTTAGAGAACAGGGGTGTAGCCAGAAAATTTCGGTCGGTGGGGCATGGGGAAATCCGGGGGGGGGGGGGGACACCCCGGCCACGCCTGCTGCTTCTCTTGCAGCAGCAGCTCCGCTGTGACCTCTAGTCCTCCTTTAGCCCTTTCAACTGGAGACTCGATTCCAGGCTGCTTTTCTGTGACCGAGGTCATTTTCTGTGCCTGAGGTCATCTCACATTCTTTAATTTTATTTTTTCCCATTTTTTGATTTTTCTCTCTCTGAGGGGGCACACTCATCTGTGGGGGGCATTGCCCCCAAATCCCCCCATAGCTATGGGCCTGAGTTAGAAAGTTATAACTTTGTTTAGGATGTCATGGCAAGCCACAAATAAACTGGCACAGATCTTCCAAGACTGAGATTAACTAATCCCTCTTTGCAATCTCCCAGGTTTCCAAAGGCTAGACACAAATGCATACCTCAAGGATCAGTGGCCTGCCTTGCATCTGTCATCTGCTTTCATTGGGAAGAGACAGCTACCATCTGAATGTTATGTAGTAATTAATAGAGGAGAAGCAAAAAGGGATGTGGAATCACTGCAAAAGCCACCTTGATAATTCGTTCCTGTCTGACATGGTTTTAAACCACACTGGGATATGTCAGTGTAAGTGGGACTGTAAAATCCCCTTCAATGAATTGATTTCCCCCCTTAGTGTTTATAGATGGCATCAATCCCCTGCCTTGCAAGGTAATGGCATTATTGGCACAATGTGATCTGAAAACTACCTTGACTACTATACAATCATTTATGTGCATCCCCAATTTCCACATTGGTTCATATATATAGCAGGGATATCACTCTGCATATCTCATTTCCAATTATTAATTCTTTAAAATACCATATGACGACAGTGAAGGTTATATTTACAAGTAAAACTCAATTTCTGTTATTCCAATACCATATGAATAGCTTCCTCTTAATTATACGGGAAAAACAAATGTATATGTGAACTTGAACAATCTTCTCAGACAGACAGGAAGACTAAACGTAATAGTTTTTAAAAAAAAAAATCAGAAAATTAGATTTTTTTTTCACTAACACCACTGGTCTAATGAATTTTCACCAAAATTCACCAGTACGTTAACATGATTGAACTTGATGCTGCAAGGAATATTTTGCTGTATCAAAAGCTGAAGGGATATTCCCCCTCCATGCCTTCTCAATAATCCCAATAAAGCATTCTCTCTCTCTCTCTCTCTGAAGGAGGAAAGCAAGATTATCTATACTCCACACTTTTTAAAAGCCATTCTAACATATTTCAAAGGAGTGTTTCAAATCAATTATAAGAATAAACTTCCTCACACCAATATAAGTAATTATAACCTGGTATTTGGAGGTTGCGCTCTCGGTAGTTTATCATGGACAATTTTCCATGTTGCAGCAGCACATGTTGGATCAAGTTCGTCTTCGTTTTGTTTAGGTTCTCTCTTTGCTGCAGTCTTTGTTCCTATGGTTTCTGGAGGTGAAAGAGGGTCCAGGCCTACAAGAAGAAAAGAAAGGGTGGTGGTAAATGTTATATGTGGAGCAAAACTATGCCTCTAAAAGAGAAAAATGGCAAATTGAGCCCAGATTATTGTCTGAGGATTCCCAGCCAGATACCAGTCTACCAGCCAGCTGCTGGAAAAAAATACTTGTAGTTTTGTAGTATAATTGCACAGGAGGAGTCCAAGAACACTTTAAAGACTAAACACACATTTTTTTACTATTTAAGGTGCTACAAGACCCCTGCATAATTTTTTTGGGGGAAAATACTGCATTCTCTCAGAAATATCAGCAGACATCAGGAGGAGTCTACCATTGTGTGGTGGCCAAAAAGTCCAGGAACCAGTACTATTTATTGTAATCCAGAAAGTCCATATGCACCCAGGCATGGTTCACCTCACCTGCCTCCCTAAGCCAACGGTAGGGCATTAACTGAACCAACAGTTCTTCAGATTCTCCACCCAACCATGCAGAGAGAGCTTGCAGAGTCCTGACACCAGTACTTATAGTCTCCACAAAGAGGACATGTGGGTTCTCAAGTCCCAGTTCTTTCTAGAGGGCCAAATCAAGCCCCCAGCCGAGACACCCAATAACCATGTCCAGAAGAACCAGGAGAGTCACTAAGATCTGGGTCTGACGCCAAAAAACATTCAGTGCCCCCGATCTACCTTCTCTTTATCAGAGGTTCCCAGCACGTTCCAATCCACATCCAGCTGATCCGAAAATCCTCTCAGATGGGACAATCCAGGTCCACTTGCTGCCACATGATGCCACCCGCAAAAACGGGTCGGGCTTGCGCTTTGGGGGCCTGGCTGGGTCAGTTGAAGAGAGCCGAGATGAGCCAAGATGATGGTTTGATTCCAAGCAGTCAGCCCCCGTGGATCGGACCAAGACCCCTGCAAGGTCCCCAGAGTCAGCAAGCGCACAGCAGAGTGTGCCGCCTCCACAGTGTAGGATGCCGCTCCGGCAGCGTGAAACACCAAGGCTGACATCCAATCTGACAGCAGCAGGGAGGCGCAGCAGGAAAATCAGAGGGCGCAGCAACTGCAAGGCTGACAGTCAGGCCTGCAGCAGGCAACACCCAGGAGAATCCCCCGTCCGTACCATGGAATGAAGGCAGCCCCAAACAGAACCCCCCCCCCAAACCTCCTCAGGCTACAGAGGGTACGTCTTCTGACCAGCACACCACCATCAAGCTGCAGTTCCAACCAACTGTTTCTAAAACATGGAGCTCAGAATTCAGAGCTCCGTGTCGGTCACCATCTTGAATATTGATGACGATGGTGGCCATCGCCACCATCTCACAGGTTTCCATAAACACCCTTTAAGATGATATTGAGGCTTTGTCATGAACCCATTGTCAGATTCGCTCTCGTCATCTGAGTTCTATTTTCATCCCTCTGAATTCCACAGTATACCAGGGGGGTGATTCCTGTTGGGGACGGAGAGGACGTTGGGGCGTGATTTCATTGATGGCTTCAGATGGGAACTCCCATTCCTGAAAAATGGAAAGGATATATTTCCTTGATAGGGACAACTCATGAGGAGGGAAGGTGAATCTGCTCAGAAAGTCTGCAGCAGAGTTGTGGACCCTAGCAATGTGGATCACATAGAACCACAAGGAAGGAAGGGACCGCCAGGGTCATCTTGTCCAACCCCCTGCACAAGGCAGGAAATTCACAAATACCTTCCCCCCCACACACTACCACACACTCCATGCCCAGAATAGGGCAAAAAACTTCCAGGATCCCTGGCCAAACTGGCCTGGAGAAAAATTGCCACCTGACCCCAAAGTGGTGATCAGCATTTCCCTGGGCGTGTAAAAAAGGGCCACAAGAACTAAACACTGAGACAGGCAACCCTTCCTGCCCTCCCTTTCATGATCTGCCTAAGTTCACAGCGTCAGCATGCCTGTCAGGTGGCCATCTAGCCTCTGTTTGAAAACCTCCAAAGAAGGAGAGCACCTCCCGAGGAAGTCTATTCTACTGAGGAGCCGCTCTGTCAGGAAATTCTTCCTAACGTTTAGCCGAAAACTCTTTTAATTTCAACCCACTGGTACTGGTCCGACCTTCTGGGGCAACAGAAAACAATTCCACTGCATCCTCTATATGAGGGCCCTTCAAGTACTTGAAGATGGTTATCGTATCCCCTCTCAGTCTTCTCCTGTCCAGGCTAAACACACCCAGCTCCTTCAACCTTTCCTCAGAGGACTTGATGTCTGGACCCCTCACCATCTTCGTTGCCCTCCTCTGTCTATATCCTTCTTAAATTGTGGTGCCCAGAACTGAACTGAACACAGTACTCTAGGTGAGGTCTAACCATAGCAGAGTAAAGCAATACCACCACTTCTCATGATCTGGATACTATATAGACCAAAATGGCATTTGCCTTTTTAGCTACCACATCACACTGCTGACTCATGTTCAGTGTATGGTCTATTAAGACCCCTAGATCATTTTCACACATATTACTGCCAAGACAAGTCTCCCTCATCCTATGATCATGCATTTCATTTTTCCTACCTAAATGCAGAACTTTACATTTATCCCCATAGAAATTCATTTTATTTGTTTTAGCCCAGTTTTCCAGCCTGCCGAGACCATCCTGTATATTGACTCTGTTTTCTAGCCGTGTTTGCTACCCCTCCCAATTTAGTATCATCTGCAAATTTAAGGATTCCCTCTATTCCTTCATCCAAATCATTTATAAAGATGTTGAATAAAACAGGTCTCAGATCCTTGAGGCACTCCACTTGTCACTCCTCTCCAAGAAGATGAGGAACCATTCACAAGCACTCTTTGGGTGTGATCTGTCAACCAGTTACAGAGTCACCAAACAGTCATAGGATCCAAACCACATTTTACCAATTTGTCAACAAGAATATTATGTGGAACGCTATCAAAAACCTTAGGAGCTGCGGTGGCTCAAGTGGTTAAGACGCTGAACTGCAGGCTGTGGAAGGTCAGTAGTTCAGGAGTTCAAGACCCGGGTGCCGCAAGACGGGGTGAGCTCCTGTCTCTAGTTCCAGCTCCTGCCAACCTAGCAGTTCAAAAGCAAGAAATTGCAAGTAGATAAATAGGTACCACTTCGGTGGGAAGGGAACAGCGTTCCGTGCGCCTTGGTGTTTAGTTATGCCGGCCACATGGCCACGGAAACGTCTTCGGACAACGCTGGCTCTTCGGCTTTGAAACGGAGATGAGCACCGCAACCCTAGAGTCAGATTCGTCTGGCTTTCGAGCAAGGGAACCTTTACCTTTACCTATCAAAAACCTTACTTAAATCAAGATAAACTATGTCTACAGCATTCACCTGATCCAGCAAGGCAGAAACTTTTTTGGAAAAAGAGATAAAGTCCGTTTGACATGATTTGTTCTTGAGAAACCCATGCTGGCTCTTAGTAATCACACCGGTCCTTTCTAAATGTTCAAGGACTGATTGATTTGTTCTAAAACTTTTCCAGGTATAGACGTCAAGCTGATGGGTCGGTAGTTATCCGGATCCTCTTTTCCCCTTCTTGAAGATGGGGACAACATTTGCCCGCCTCCAATCTTCTGGCACCTCACCTGTTCTCCAAGAATTCTCAAAAATAAAAGACAGAGGCTCAGAAATGTCTGCAAGCTCTTTTAGTACCCTTGGATGCAATTAATCTGGCCCTGAGAACTTTGTTTCATTAAAAAAAATAGGTGTGTGTGTACTACCCCCTATGCCTATCCCAGGATGCAAGTCCCTTCATGTGTTCTATTTTTTGCCGTGTTGACTACCTTTTCCCTCACAAAAGAAGGCTGAGGAAATGTAGGAATTGAGCAGTTCTGCCCTCTCTTTATCACCTGTTACAATTTCACTTTCCTGTCCCCCCAATGGGCCTACCATGTCCTTGCTCTTTTTATTACTGTGAAAATAAAGAAAGAACCTTTTCTTGTTGTTTCTAGCACCTCTTGCAAGCCTAAACTCATACTGAGCTTTAGCTTTTTAACTTTCTCTCTACAAGCACAGCACAGCTGAGTTTGGTCTGCATGAAGGAAGACTTTGTACTAACTTGCCCATTTCCAGATTTCTGTTGCCTTCCCACAGAGAGATGACACTGTACCACCCTGTTTGTTGAGACAGAACATGGTGGTAGTGTTGTCTGTCTGTACCGGTACAGGTTGATGCTGCCAGAGCAACTCCTCAGTGGGTAAAGCCACCAGTCATCTAGATGGGGGAAGACAGTGCAGCTCTTAGACTGAAGGAAGGCAGTAACCACCGTCATACTCTTAGCGAAAAAACAGGGTGTGGTAGCCAAACTGAGGTGACCGTATGCTGACCCCCCAAAAAACTACCATATGCTGACAACCCCCCCCAACCCCCCCCCCCGAAGGTACTTCCTTTGGTTGGGATGAATAGCAATATGGACATACATATTGGGTGCTGGAGAAGACTCTTGAGAGTCCCTTGGACTGCAAGAAGATCAAATCAGTCAATCCTAAAAGAAATCAACCCTGACTGTTCCCTGGAAGGCCAGATAATGAAACTGAAGCTCAAATACTTTGGCCACCAAATGAGAAGGGAGCACTCACTGGAGAAGACACTGATGCTGGGAAAGATCGAAGGTCAAAGAAGACGGGGACGGCAAAGGATGAGATGGTTAGACAGTGTCATAGATGCAACGAACATGAAATTGAGCAAACTTCAGAGGACGGTGGAAGACAGGAAGGCCTGGTGTGACTTGGTCCATGGGGTCACGAAGAGTCGGACTCGACTGTGCGACTGAACAACAACAACATACATAACTTTTAAGCCCAAAACCACAAACCACCAATTTAATTTTAACATCTGTAAAACCTGAGAAACAGAAACTATCCAATTTTTTTAATCAATAAAAACTGTTTAAGTTGCATAAATCGAGGATGATGAAGGCCCCCATCATTCTTGGCAATAGAGAAGTAATGTGAATAAAAACCATTAAAAACAGAACATCCATCCACTAGCTTGATCTTTCTGGACAAGGTCATGACAGCG